ATACATTATCCATGATTTCATCACAAAATTGCTTTGACAGACTTGATGTTGGCTTGGTTTCATTTTAATGAAATTTCTATAGGAGATGGCAACGTTAGAACATGGACAAATGAGTGCAGTCTTGTATCTTGGATAGAGATCGTTGTATACTGATAGAGTAGGTTTGTTCACGTGTATCGTTGTAGTAAAGTTCAGCCTTGCCGTATAAAGCACAAGTACGAATAGTGAAACAATCAAAAGAACGATTGTTAACTGTGTGGCTGTTACTTCAACCTTCAATTCACCATCATCAGTCGTTAATTTCGGAGCAAACATATTCACTGTTTTTATCGTATGTTTGACTTTTTCATAGTAGATACGAGATTTCGATTGAACTGGTGTTGATCCTAAAATTGAGCAAAAACTAATCAAAGATATGAGAGCTTGACCGACAACAATAGGCACAATTGAGGGTTTCATGAGATCTAAACACTTCTCAGTCGACAAATGGAAACCTTAGAAAGACGTTTTGAGGTAAAAAACGCCTCTCATAACTTCGTGATGTGTCCTACATTGAGCAAGAAATGGTTCTAAACGAAAATAAGTAAGTCATGCTTTGCTTTCAAGGTGTCTCCTAAAAGATGGATATCATACCTGCAACTTCTTCTTTAGGTCGCTTTTTTTTCCTCACAAATTCAACTATTGGTGGAATAATAATTTGTAACACTTTTGTCAGACCGCCGATTAATCCAGTGATCGTTGTCACAATATAAACGACGTTATTATGACCGGAATATGTATATGTACATGCTTGAGGAGCACACTGTTTATAATAAGACGAGAACGAGGCATTTGAGTTCCACTCTTCTACCATCAGGAAAGAAACAATCTCGTTTAGAGTTGAATTTAGTTGATACCGACTAGGTGCTGACGAATTCATTGCTGTAACATTCAAAGAATAAATAGATTGCATAAACGTTTTTGATATATCAATACAGGACTGATTATAAAAACATTCCAAATTCGACTGCATCGCCGAAGAGCTGATTAGACATCCACATTCAATACCAGGCATAACAAAAGCTGTAGCAGAAGAATCCGAACCGTTATAGACAGTCGACGGTATTGAACAGTCAGTTGACTGAAAACAGGAACAGTGGTCATCAGGAAAGTATGAGTAAAACTGGGTTGAATTTGAGAATGAGTTTGCCGGCCAAAAGCCTAAGACGAAATTTGTACCGAGACCGGAAACGAGCAGACTAGCATCATTTATGTATTGAATTACGCTCATCGATTGTAAAAAAGTCTGTGTGGTAGTTAAAACGAAAAGATCGATGAGCGACTGTGTTTGAGAGTTAAATAAATGGTTTGATTGAACAGTAGCCGTAATGTATTGACTTGAATTAAAAACAATCAAATCATCGTTAATCCTTACATTTGATATTTGACATAGACCTCTCAAGAACTGGAATAACACTGGACCCGTCCATCGGTAATCGTAGGTAAAAAATCCCACGTTGCCATGACTATTTGAATAATTGATCCAATTCAGCGACACAAAATCGCTGCTGCAATACTGATGAAATGTTGGTTTGAAACTCATAATTTCGCTATAGCCAACTGATATTGTCTTACATGGACACGAGAGTGTTAAGGGATAGTTTTCGTACAGTTTCTCGTATTGCTCCAATGATGGCGAAGCGACCGTATGTGTTATTGTAACATCAATCAATGCCGTGTAAACAGTGAGTATAAATAATGCTGCTAACAGACAAACCACAAATAAACGAGTTGATATTAACTGATTTCCCATGTCGTGAGGATCGATTGGAGGTGGATGTGATTTTATTATATTAAACGTTTTCACATATTGCTGGGCCTTCTGAGAAACATTGCTGAACTTATTACCTAAAAATATATAGATGAAAAACTGTGAAGAAAAGAACTACAAGACGGTGGCTAATGCTATGGAATTCCTCCATTATGCAGAGATGGGCAACTCCGGGTGCAAGCCGCTCCAACTCTATACCGAATTAAAAAATTCAACTCCAACTCCACTCCGAGCCAAGTCAACTCCGATCCAACTCCATAACCGAATTAAAGATTTGAACTCCAACTCCAACTGCAACTCTAGTGCTAATAACACCAACTCCAACTTCACTCCAACTCCGATTCACTAAATCGAAATTGAATGAATACTAAGTCTGAAGAGAATATTTTTATCATAAGTTTATCATCAATATTAGTAATAATTAGTTTCAGAAGTTTTATTTCTTTGACGAGTTTCCATAAACTTTATAGATTTAACTCAGTAAATCAAGATTACACTTAACAAATGTTAATTTAGCTAAGGTATCTTTTGCTAATCGACTTCGATGTGGTCTCATCAACAAACCACTTGTTGAGAAAACACGTTCAGAAGGTGCAGATGGATGGTGTCGATACGCGTTTTTTTTGGAAGTACCGATGTTGCTTCACAATACGAAAATAAACTTTTTCTTTTTGTTGGTGGACTATCGGTAGAAAAATCTTTTCCATCAGATTGATTGATATCGTTGTTTATTAACATTGGTTCACCTTGTGCATCATCAACACTTTGATTGTTGTTGGTGGAGTGACAAACTTGAACGGCTGCTTGAACAACAAGTCGTTTTATCTTCTCGCCCAAACGATTCCTAAAACAACAAATATAATAAGTATGTTTCATATATAACGCATAAATCATGTGATCGTTCTCACTTTCATTGTGAACAAATGAACACAAAAAGAAAATATCTACGAATAACCGTCGAACTTACTTAGCTTCTTCAGGTAAAAGAGATTGTAAAATCCAACGAAGTCGGAATTGCCCATCCAAGAAACTCGAAATGAGAAAAATATCATCAGAGAATAGACTAAATGTGTTTCGACGCTTTATCGAGCCGTTGACAGGTATTTCAAGACTTAATAAAAGACCACCAAATCGTTGTTTTAATGAGTATATAAGCATCTTGCACAACGAACTTGAATACTCGCATACTTTCAATTCATTTTCAAGATCAAAATAAATACTAAGTATACTTGGTGCTACTAGTGATATAGAAACACATCGTTCAGCTTGTGTTTTCGTGGTAGCTTCGGCAAATAAAGTGAAGGCTGATATAAATTCACGTAAAACATGTAAATCTTTTATCGATAATATCAATTCACCTTTTTTTTGATCCGTTAAAATATCACTGAGTAATACACTTGGTATATCAAGAATTTGTGATACAGTATTAAATTGTGAGTTCCATCGGGTTATAACAGCTTGTGGAACTATATTTAAACTCCTGTAGCTTTTCAGCGACTGGAACACTTGTATGGCTTAATTTTGCAATGTTAGCCACTTTAGTCATTGCAGATCGAGTACATTTCAAACTCATTCAGAACTTCTTCATCATTAGGACAACGTCCTTCAGACATGTTCAACTTTGTTTCATCTACATCATCATCAGTTTCTTCACTAAGGTGACTTGCTACATTTTATTCTCCGATTTTTTTTTCTTAGATGCATTTGTTGTTGATCACAGCTGGAATTCTGCTGGATGCAGAACGTTACGTTGAAGATGACGGCTATAATTTGATGTGGATGATTTTAAATGCCATACCGTTTCCTTATATATAGTACATGTTGCAGATGTTTTACCTTTGAGATCACCAACATTATACTCCTTAAAATCATCATAATATTGTTCAAGATCATGTCGACCAATTTTTGCTTTTGTTGTGTGGGATGATTTGGTACTTTTTGGTGAACTCATTTCTACATCATATAAAGAAAGAGTGAGATCGACTGTTGGTGTATTAGATGATGAATCCATTTGTAGACAGAATGATAATAACCAAAGAATAGATAGATATAGATAGACAAACACACGTGCAACAGATAGAATGATTTAATAAATGATCAGCATTCGACTGCAGGACCGGTCATTGTAAAATTTCTTTTTCTTTTTATATCTTTATTTTTCTCTCTTTCAGTGCATTTACTGAAGGTCATCTGTGTAGTTTTTTTGTCGTTCTTTTGCTAGTCATGAGATCAGTCGGAGTTGAATCGGAGTTGGAAAATAGTATCAACTCCAACTCCATCTGCACTCCACTCTGGGTCAAGGCAACTCCACTCCAACTCCATTTCAGAATTACAAAATTCAACTCCAGCTCCGCTCCAACTCCTCTTCATATCAACTCAACTCCACTTCACTCCATTTTGGATTGAAAGAATCAACTCCAACTCCGGGTAAAAAAGTGTAAACTCTGGAGTTGAAGTTGCCCATCTCTGCCATTGTGTATGATTTTCACTCTGGTGTATTTCCAGATATGGAACATGCGTGAAGCCGTTAAACGAAGCGTTACATAAATTAGAAATATTTATATATGTTTAATTATCCTGACTTTGCGTCGCAGAGTGCTGCCATAGTTTTCTCACAAATTCAGCTATTGATGGAATAATAATCTGTAATACCTTTTTCAGAAATAAATAAGTCATGCTTTGCTTTCAAGGTGTCTCCTAAAAGACGGATATCATACCTGCAACTTCTTCTTTAGGTCGCTTTTTTTTCCTCACAAATTCAACTATTGGTGGAATAATAATTTGTAACACTTTTGTCAGACCACCAATTAATCCAGTGATCGTTGACACAATATAAACGACGTTATTATGACCGAAATATGTATATGTACATTCTTGAGGAGTACACTGTTTATAATAAGACGAGAACGAGGCATTTGCATTCCACTCTTCTACCATCAGGAGAGAAACAATGTCGTTTAGAGTTGAATTTAGTTGATACCGACTAGGTGCTGACATATTTAGACCCCTGGTGTTAATTGTACTTATATATGATTGCAAAGTGTTTACACATAACTGGTCATACATACAGGCTAAATTGGATTGTAATAAAGCTTCAAGAACGTAACAACCTACTAATAGGCCGCGTGGTTGAAAAATGACATCGGTCATGTGTGTTCCTGAAATATTATAGATAGTCGCTGGTGAGGTGCAAGTGGGAAGTTTGCGGCAAGAACATGTGCCGTAATGCTGGTTCGCACCATCTATTGCACTCCCGCTTCCTCCGTTATAAATAGAATCCAAATAGTAATAATAGTTTGTCAACAGACCGGATTGAATAGCATCACCTTGAGTAAGATTACGGATGACGTTTATTGATCCTTGAAATGCATTTCTTGTGACTGCAATAAAAAGATTTATGAATGCATTCGTTTCAGATTCAAATATTGACAATGACTTGAGATCAGGTGTAAAATAAGTAGTTGAATTAAAGTCAACGAGTCCATTTCCTATGGCTTCTTGAGAAAAGTCGCAAAACATTGCAGCATTTTGAAGGCTGCCGTTGCCCACCATCGAAAATCAGCCATGGCTGAGTAGTCGCTTTCAATTCTTAACCAGTTTATTCCTCCACTATTGACCCAGTTTGATTGAACAAATTCGCTTAAACATAATTGATGGTAGACAGGAGATATGCTGATAAAATATCGGTATGGAATCGAAGTTGTGTTACATGAGCAACTAATGGTTTTTGAATATTTCTCATACAGTTCATTGTATGTCGATAATGATGGTGATTGAACAGTAACGCTTATCGTTACGTTTATTAAGGAGGTGTAAGCGACTAGGATTATTGTGGATGCTATCAGAAGAACAATAAACAAGCGTGTAGAAACTAGTTGATTTTCTACGATATGTTGATTTTGAGACGAAGGATGGGATTGAAATAAATTGAGCTTTTTAATGCGACTGTTCATAGTTGTACCTGAAACAGTATTATCCGATTTGAAAACACAAGAAAATTTCTATACAAAAATATGAGTACGCTCACCGAAGAGTTCAACAATCTCAAACGCCTTCGAAGGCAATTCTGTTGAAGAGTCCGTTCAGTTCAGTCGTAGACGGTCTATGACTGCCTAAATCGATCGATGGACCAGTAAAGGAATCCAGATAGTTCTGCTGAGGAGATGTACTCGAAAACTCATAAAACTCTTGATACCCGTTAATCTATTTATAGGAAATCATATTTGCCGAGAATGATTGAATATCCAAATTATACAAGAGTGGAAATAAACTACATTGAATTAAATCTTCTTAAATATTAGACACCTGATCTCTCTGTCGAGAAAATAATCTCGTCTGTGGATCATGACAATACCAGTGGGTCATTTGAAATTACTAAATATTAATAAGGAGCACGAAGAACTCTGTAGTTTCATTTTCAATTGGTTTGGACTTAATCTCGTAAAATGTCGATTATTACTTTTGGTTCAGCTTTGAACTCATACGTCGAAACTCACAATCTGTAGTTTTCCCTATTGGTCTCCGATACTATGTTTTTCGAACCCTGGTGTGTGAAATTTGTTGTCCAAGTGCTCTAAATATGAACATCTATTTCTGGTTCACCCTCAGTTACAACATTTTCTTGGAGTCACTGATATATTCTTCACAAAAAATATCAAAGTATGTCGTACTTCGAGAAGCATAGTAGTTGTTATACAGTAACTCTAAATGAATTTTCTATATGAGCGCTAAGCATTGTGTAGACAAGGTGTAATACACTTACCGTTCTATAGCTCGCTTCTTTTCTCTTAACAAATGCAAAATAAATTTGAAATGGTTGACGAAAGAAAGTAAATTAAGCAGGGATTGGTTCGGAGAGAATGTTGAGAAAATACGAGCTGATTTAGAATAGTGTTAAACGCACCAAACAAAAGTATCAATAGAGATAAGTAACAATTCAGCTGAACTGTTGCTAAATTGAGAACGAAAGTAAGAACAGACATAGTTCCAAAATGTGACGAAGCTCAACGGAAATGTCAGCGTTTATTATTTATAAGAAAAGAAATGTAAACCGTCCATATAGAAACCAACAATGCACCTCAAAACGTTTTATTTTATGAAAACTGCTTTATTCCTTAACACGTCGTTGTCTACTTTTAACAGAGTCATCTCACAGTGAAGTGTTTCTGCGAAATAAAACAGAATCATAAGATTTGATGGCGTAAAGATGAGTGACAAAGCTCATTTAATATTCTGTATAGTTTTCGGCACTGTCTATCCAATGTGCATAGCGAAAATATGATCCTCACTCTCACCATTAAAACTCTATATGTCGATAGTGATTAGGGAAATTCACCTGAGTGGCTCACTCTCATGGCTGGCTGGCTACTCACCCGTCCAGAACATTTAGTGTATAATTATAAGGTGTCAGTAACTCAAACTTTCCACAAGTTTTATTGTTCGTTTTAACACAGATATTCGAATTCTTGGTGAGTTGCTGATCACGATCTGACCTGTTTTTTCGATTTGGCTTAGTCTTTCTGGAGAAAAATGCAAAACACTGACAGTAGGTCGAAACACCAAAAACGCTTTTTTTTTCGAACACAGTCCACAATTTTTTCCATCCAACAGATGAAGCTCTAAACGTTCTTTTAAACGATTCTTCATTAAAAACTGAGCATGGTAATGTGTCTTTTAAATTGTTAGAGCTTACCCAAGATTCTGGGCAGGCGTGGAAATAAGACGTGGTCCGAGCTGGATTTTCTGATTTTGCAACTCTATCTAGTTTTTCTTCTACAGAGCTAGCCACTTCATTCTAGCGCCAAAAGGTTCGCCGTCTCGTGCACTACAAAGTTATAGCTCGTTTTCTCCAAAAAGTGTTTTCGTTGGGAAGATATACGCAAAAGATTACAAAAATGTGATTTTGGCGGGAAATCCTTCAGGTGATTAGTCCTTAACTCAGCCATATTTCCTTCAAATGAACACAAGCGTTGGATTTCTATGATTTAGCAGATGCTGAATCCAGTACAAATGGTTTGGGAAAGTTTCCAGTTCAACAAAGGGGTTACGCCGAAATGCTGGGTCTCTAGAAAACCTCTGCAAATCCTCGATAAATTTGCCCAGCATTTTCAAGTTAAACAATAGCAATTACATAGAGAAATAAAGTCTGAGTACAATGAGATGTTTCCGAGCTCTCTGGCATCCTGCGGTACTGATTTATAGTAAAAAAATAAATGGCTGTCCTGCTTTTCTAGCTTTCTAATTTCCTGCTGTGCTGCTTTCCTGATCTCCTAGTTTCCTGCCTTCCTCGTTTTTCTGAGCGTTTAGCGAGGCTTTATGCTGGGTTCAGAAAGTGGTGTTCCTAGTTTCCTATTATCGTAAGTTTTAGAGACTTATTCTATTTTTTGGTATTTTCAGTTTCCGGCAAATGCAACTTCTGCATCACGCCGAAATGTAATACTCACGTTATTCAGATCCAATTTTAACAATACAATAAAAGCAGAGTTATATTCCAGTAGAAACAATCAACGAATGTTAAAAGTTTTAATTTGAGAATCGATTGTCATCTAATACTTCGATAGCATCTTAGTGACGAATGGAATACTTTTACCTCCGCAAAAATAAGTTTTCTCAATAAATAGTCATTTTTAATAGATGTTCAGTGATTATTCGTCGCCATTTCTCTCAAGGACACTTCATATAAAAACAACCAGCGTTTTGTTATTTAATTGTTAACAAAGAACAGCTTTTAAAGTTATTACTTTTTTGTTTTACAACGACATAGTGGAAAATCTAACTGATCGGATACCAACTGCTTTTCATCTTCGGTACTTTACTCTGAAGAGAAATTCACATCAATGGTCTAATGAGCATGGCAAATAAGTTTTAATTTCATAGACGACTTTCCGACGTTTCGGCACACGACTAAGTTGTCTTCTATCGTACTAACAAGGATGTATTAGATGCATATGAGTTCGATTTTATAGTAAACGCACATTTCTAAGTCTGATGGAGTCGAAACACACTGGTACTTTCCATGGTTTTCTTCTTCTAAACTGAAAACGATGGGTATCTTACACAATGTTTAAGTCAATATTTGACTGGATTTAGTTAGACTTGGTATTTCCCAATTTCATTTCAACTGTATTTCTTTGCAAAGATATATGTATTAATTGAAGATAATGTATTTTTTTAATACAACTCGACAGTGAAAGAGAAGTGGTTTCACCGGTACGAATAGCGGCATCTTTGAAATTAATAAGTCATGAGCGTTTCTCCTGTTAGACCTTGCTCTTTATTAAGTATCGTTTGATGTATTTTGCAAGTCTTATCTCTTACGTAGTTTAAACTTGGAACTAGTGGAAAAGCTTTTATATTTTTAGCACGAGATTTGATTATGGAAAAAATTTTTAGCTTGAAAAGAAGATCAAGAATAATTATTAAACGTATCTCCTCTCTTTTCCCACCTTGTTGCCAAATGCGAAGCACACGTTCGATTAAGCTCAAATGTAAAGCAGAGATAGAACATCGACAAAGACAATAGACGTATTTTTGCTCAGAATTTTATGACATATTCTTGAATGCATCTTCTGAAAACTTCAGTTTTGTTAAATCCTACGAGAGTCTACAATAGGATCCTACAAGTAAACTACTACTCATTTCAAAATATAGTAGAGCAAGGCAGGTTTTGAATAACATTTGACAGAAAGACAATGTGGATTTGCCGTTTTCACAAGTAGACACCGAGGGAAGAATGAGATCCTGTGGCACCTGTTCAAACCATCGCGTGGAGATGATGAGCCTCATCAAAACTTTTCGAGCTGTTTATTATTTTTTGGAACCTGGAGACAGTTTTGATTCTAATTTAAGAGAGTAACAAATAAGTTTTGTTAATTGAAGCCGGGTATTGATACGAAAAAAGAAATATCTATGCCAATAGCTAGGTAGGTATATTTATTTGTTTCTTTCATTATCTCATCTTCTAGTATTCTTCGTATTCTAGTGGTCGTTATCAGGGTAAAGAAATTAATTGGCAATATAAAACTGTTCCTCAAACACGTTTACATTTTGGTACCGTAAACCAGTAGTCTAATTGGCTCCAAGGCAAACTATTGGGAGGTTGTTCTTCTTTGATCTTAATCCAACGAGTTTAATGTTTATTGAACCATGTAAGAGAAATGGTTTGAAATATGTAGATGATTATAATGCTCTTGAGCATCTCAGTGGATCTGTAGGCGCAGTTCACGTATCAACGCAAAATGGTCGACGTTAGTCTATTGCATGTGGATATCTATTTTCAGCAGCTGTTAAACGTCCAAATTTGCATATACTCATCCATGGTCATGTTTGCCGAATTAAGTTTGACCAACAGAAAACGCAACGGGTATAGTCGTTAAACAGGATGACCGTGAGCGAGAAGAATACAGAGATGGGCGGATATCCGAAATAGGAATATCCGAATATGCATATTCAAGGTAGGGATATCCGAGACAGGATATCGGCCGACATAGCTTGAAAAATACACATTGACGAAGAATTTTTGTTTGGAAAAGTGAATTCATGGTGTAAAAGCATAAAAGTGTACAACTCATAAAAGTCATAAAAGCATAAAAGACGGATAAGCAGAAAAATCGAAACATCTGGAATGTGGGTGAGATTTTGTTCAGGTACAGCTTATCAACCACGATCAGTTAAGGATCGAAAAGAAAGAGAACGTAAGAAAAAGGAGAAAACGCCAAAAGCAAGAGAAAAAGAAATTCAAAACGCCAGTTTGCTTTCAAGAACAAGAAACAGACATATGATAGACATAATCTAAGACAGACAATATCAGTCGATTACATACAGCGATTTTCACTTTTTTAAACTTTTTGCAATAATCATTTACGTGGTGCAGTATTTTACTATGTTGAAAAATTTCAGATTTTTACTTATTTTATTTGTTTTTTCTGATGGCGAGATTATGTCAATCTCGAAACGTTTAGTTACTAATTTTAAATATAAATATACCAATAACTACGGAATACTTAAGCAAACATCATCTATGGAAAAAATCTGGATACATTTCGTCTGTAATCAGGCGATACACGACAAGTTGGTATCTAGATTACTAGCTGGAAAAGGGACTTTTAACTAGATGCGTTTGTATGTGCATCTAGCATTAGTTAAATCGATTGATTATCGGGCGATAAATCGATAGTTGCAACTAGAAGATCTAGCAATCGCCCAATTTTCACTGTCGTTACCCAATAGTTGTAATCGACTAAAAATCTGGTAAGTCAACTGGGCGATACTAGATGTTCTTTTGACGCTTGGGTATCAGCTAACCAAAAAAAGTAGAATCGAACGATCAGTGCCATTCAATTGAGGGCTATTTGAACGTATAACTATAGATTCTGTTACTAGTAGACGATTGTCTCGAGCCGCTACCTTTATGCCGTGAGAATCGATGGAACGTCTAATGTTTAGAACCCATTTTTCCGGCGCACAGGAACCAATATACCTAACAATATATATATTATAGAAACAAAGTTTTACAGATTTAAATCAGTCTGTTCTGTCGATCAAGGTCTTGGCTTTCAGTAACATGATCAGTGAGATAGACTGGTTGTAGCTGTTGTTGTAATAACGGGCATCCTTTACTCAGTCATCGCGCTCAGATGACTTGTGCAAATGGATTCAAACTTTCCAAGAATGATGAAATAGGTATGAATCAGGTGTTTAATTAAGCAAATTGCCGAGAAAAGTAAAAAATTATAGCTAAGACTATTTCGATATTTAAGCTGCAGCTATTCTCATCATTGCATAAGTTACTGAATAACATGTTGTTTATAACGTTTTGTTTATTTGCAACAATAATACGAATCATGAAGCGAATGTGCATCAGAACTATTCTGTATGTATATCATCACCATTCTGTTCTTCCATGTTAGCATCTTGTTGTTTTTGATTAGCAGAAGACATTAAATCAATAGCCAAAAGTCCAGCATCAGTAGCAGCTGACACATATGTTCCAATACCAGGTATCGTCGAAATAAGACCTGAGA